GCATTTGCTGTGACTGTTGTTGTTGTTGTGGCTTCAGTCTCCGACGAGTAGAGTCTTGATCTACTTGATAATAGTAATAATGATGTTCCGAAGGGAGTGGTTCTCCTCCTGGTAATATCATAGAGTGATTAGTAGTACCATATAATGATGATGATGATGTTGGAGTAGTCATCATGATAAGAATACTCTTGTGGTAAGAGGACAAGAAGAAGGAGATGAAGCCCTGCTATTACTCCCATTATGGTCGTAATAATGTTAACACTGTATACAATGTATTACCATAATCATCATGCTTACTACTATCATGCTTACTATCATGATAAATCTATCATCACATCTTATGTATAATAACCACTTATAATACAACGACCTCTTCGTCGTCTATACTACTTAGATAAACTTGACCCACGATGTTGTTGTTGTTGATGATGATGAAGTCTGTGGAAATGTTGAAACCTATATAATAAGATAATGAACTACATTATTATTATGATGGTGATGATACTTACACATGATGGGCTAGTAGACAACCACAGAATGCCATGGCAACTCCTCCTCCTATTAGTAATAAGACTCTACCAAGATCTATCCTACTACTATCATCTTCAATTCTCCCTTGTACTGTTTGTTGATCCGATCTAGTATTACCATTATCACTGCTTATTATTAATGGTACTTGTTGATAGGGACCAACAGCAGCAGCAGGACCAGGACCAGGAGCAGGAGGAGGAGGAGCAGGCTGTAGTGCTACTTGCTGTTGTGCTGGAGAAGAAGGAGGTGGGAATACCAGTTGGGATGATGTCGATGGGGACTGCTGTTGCTTCTGTGATTGTTGTGGTGTTATATTCGATGATGATGACAATACCTACAATGATGATATTATCAAGAACATACTAGTCGTATGTGATTACCACAACATGTCTTATTGTCAACTCGATAATTATGATCCACTGTACAATCAACATTCAAACACAGTGGAAATTGAACAAGTGCAGTATTGTGCGCCGTAACGAGTAGCGCTCGCCATTCCAATCGACGATGACGATAGTTACTACTACTACTACTACTACTACGTCTCTAAGTCGCCTTCGGTACTTCTCTACTACTACTCGCCTTCGGTAAGGGTGTAACGGTAAGATACACTCCCATTAAGGCGCCTTGAGTTTCTGTGCATATACTTAAGTATTTACGAGAAGCATTTCACAACATGCGTACTTAAGGAGCAACTTAAATATTCCTTAAATTTTGTTAGGGTAGAGCCGACCCCTACCTGAACAGATACTTAAGTATCGTGTTCGAATATTGCAGCCCACAGGGGTTGAACCAGGGACCCTTCGTAGGACGATGCTTAAATATTGTATGATACAATTTGTATCGCGCAGTGGTCGAACCGGGGATCTTACGAGTGGCAGCACGGTGCTCTCTCACTTGCCCAGAAAGGCAAATAAGTAGAGCCAAGAGCTCAACGCAGCAAAAGCCGAACCGAACTTCACAAAATGGTCACCTTTAACTTAAAGGCTTTAAGAATCAGCCACTGCAAAACGTCGGAGAGGCAATGTTTGCTGCTTGTGAACAGGAGATGAGGATCTGGGAGAATCACAGTCATCTCGAATAACTCTGATTGACCCAGATGCTCCAGTGGATGATGTCGGGAACGCTCTCCGTGAATGCTATGTTCGCTGATATTTTCAGTGGCTTTGCGATGCATCTGTGATTCGCGGCATCATAATTATATTTTCCATTTTGCGGATTGTTGTGTTACTCATTGTAGTTAGTATCGTAATTTGTGAGAACTTTTCGTGCAGTTCGTTACCAATGATCGACGAAAGTAGTTGGGAAACAATTAGTAAGAGAAAATTCCATACTTCGGACTCGATCCTGCACGTTTTGAGGTGTATTGCAAGTACTGTTAGATGGGACTAGAAGTAACTCCGATTTGTGTTCGACTGCGTCGATGGGGTCGTTGCTCTCTGTGGTGGAAGCCTCGGTGCTTGGGGGTATCGTTTCAGCTCGCAGAAGATCATACTCTCGAGTCTTGTCAGGTATCTTCATATCTGATCATCGGCTGTATGTCAGGTCGACGTTATTAGAATTGTGACACTGCGTCCGAGGCCTTGATGAGGACGAGATCGTTAAGAAGGTGGTATAGGGTGATACTGGAAGCCTTCACACTCATGCACAGTCTTCCAAAACACCAATGATATCACAGCAGCGACTCTACTGGGACATTGGTTTGGCACTAGATCATGAGAGAATGTTAGCGACGATCAAGCCTATTGAAAGTCTAGGCAGGAATATACAGTGAATATAGGTCTGCTGCCTACTCGTATGTCCACCGAGAAGCTGCGGCGAGAAGTGAGAGGAGTGCTGATTATCCCTTAAGAGTGGGATAGATGCGGACCATAAAGCGAGTTTATCGGACTAGCGTGAAGTTCGTCCACCTGGAACAGGTGTTGCTACTCGTGGTTGGTTGAGATTGGTAATTGAAAGATGCCAATTAACATATTCTTCATCTCCAGTCTTAAAGCTCGTATGTCCTTCAGTAATAGATGAATATAAAAACCTAATAAATACTCATATCCGCGACTTGAAACTATTCGCGAACCAGTTGCACACAAATCGAGATACACTATAGCATGGAACGCATGAGCCATATATCTTAAATCAGCGCCAGTAACTCACTGGCAGGAAATGATGCGCCATCATCCTTGGTTCTACTAAGTATGCAGCTTACAGCAGCAGCAGCAGCTTCATTATGATAAAGGTAGACCACCTCCAGAGAGGAAACCATCTTCTGCTGCCTGACGATGAAGTATCGGTGGAAAAACACCGTCCTCGAAGTTTATCGACGGTCAGCAATGAAGCCCAGAATCATTAGACACATTTGAGTGCAGGAAACGTATTTGAATGTATAACCTTTTGCTATTCCTTTAGGAAAGCTGACGGTCAATATTGAATATTACATGACGAGGAGTAGATAGTGTTCGTGCTTCCCTATCGATCCCCAGCCCAGCTCACACAATTTGTCTCTATATATTCCACTGGAGGCAAATTTGTGGATGAAACAGAAATACATTGCGCCGTGTCAACCAGATTATCCTGGAACACTATATACGCTGATGCTACGAGTTCAGTTGCACAAATAAACAACTCCTATTCTTTCAGTATCCCAGTATCTAGTTAATCAGAATGAGATCAAATGAACTGTCAGATCCACTGGCTGCGCAGCACGGTGTTGCCAGCATCATTGAGAAAGTCACGATGTTGGTATACGACGAACACGTGATATAAAGTGAGCACATATAAAGCCTGTAGACTCCAGGTAAAATAGGCGAAGATCTATAGTTTCTTTCATGGTTCCCTCGAAGATCATATTGGATGTTTGTCCCGAATAAGCGGGATTCATAATTGGATGAATGTTGAAGGTCAGTTGGACGCAGATGCTGGTACCATACTAGTGGTGTGTCTCATTGAGAAAGTCTGACTTCCAAAGTCAGTGTATCACCGGTCGGCGATTATGTCCTAAGGTCATTTAAGTTAGAGAATGGCTGCATTTTTTTTACAAAAAAATGGTTCAATGCTGACACGGCGCGTTTGAAATCGTCCTTCCGATTGCGTTCAGTCGGGAAACACTCAGGCGGTAAGGAGTTCCACAGATCGAGCGCCCTAATCCACCGACGATAGATGGTTAGATCGCTATTCTTCTTCGAAATTACCAACTGATACCCGTGTTTTTTGCTCTTCAGCCGAGCTACGAGTAACGCAGGAATGATTGTCTACTAGTATAAAACGCGACACTAGAGATGGAGGGCCATCTCTGAGGACTACTACTTTATAGAGCCAGGACATCATCCCCACAAATCGGCGCCACGCCAGGCTAGGTAGCGTACATCCAGTAAGCTCGATGAAACGATCTTGACAAGCGTCAAGTCTCTTCAGTTGAGCATCGGGGGCATGGATGAAGCCGGGCAAACCATATTCCAGAAGCGGCCAACAGTATTGTTTGAAACATCTCGCGAGTTGAGTGGTATCCAAGTAGGGTTGTAGCCGTAGTAGCTGTGCAGTATTTACGGAGACCTGCCTCAAAACGTATCAAAGTGGTTGGACATGGACAGAGCAGCATCCAACCTGAGACCAAGTAGGATGGCACACTCCTGTTGAGACTTAGGTGCTCTATTAGCATATGTGCCGACAACCTTTTTAGCAGGCTCCATAGTAATTCTGGCACCGTTTGTGAAGGCGACAGCGCCCGCTTCACCTTTGGTCAGTAAGTGGGGGTCCTTAGAGCCTTGAGTGTGGTCATCAGCGAAGGTGTATGTAGAGAGACCAGGGCCAGCATTACCAACAGCGGAGGAGTGAATAGGCGAAAAAAAGTATAGCCACAAAACTGGACCAAGACAGGAACCTTGACAGACCCCAGCCGACTCGCAGAAAAGGGAGGAACTCGTGCCACCACAGACAACTCTGAAGCGACGCTCAGACAAGTAGTTACGAAGGAGGTTGAGTAGCTTACCCCTCATGCCACAGTTCTCCAAGCGGAGGACAAGGAGATGTCGGTCGACACGGTCAAAAGCACCAGCAATATCGGAGAACATGCCAGCAGCTGCGTTCGTTCATAGCACCAATTGCGTCAGCCATGAATTCCCACATCACATCGCCAGTGCAACGGCCAGGTAGGAAAGCGGCTTGGTCAGGGGCGAGGATGTTCATGGTAATGGCATGGTGAACCAACTTTTGAGCTATGATACGCTCAAAAATCCTCGAGGGGATTTCAAGCAGAGCAATTGGACGGTAGTTGCGAAGATCACGCTTGGATTTCCGCTTGTAGATGGGGCAAATGTTGGAGTCTTCCAAGCCCTTGGCCATAAACCCTTTTGGAGGATGTTGTTGTAGAGTCTT